GCCAGAATCTGAATCAGTGAACTAACAGGTTCCAGCAGAAAGATTCATTTCTGTAAATACTTAGTGAGGCCTCCTATGTGCGTGGAGCTGGGGTGGATACTCAGGGTGTGAGAATTTAGTAAGACCAGACACTTGCCCTTGTCAAGGTCATGGCCTAGAAGGAGAAATATTTCTGCCTATAGCTGATCATAATACCCTGTGATAGTGCTGCAAGAGGTGTAAGAACAAGACACGGTAGGCCTAGAAGAAACGCATTAATACAGCCAGAGAACGCATCCTAGACAAGGGGTCACTTGAGCAGGGCTTTGAAGGTTGAATAAGTATTCATCAGGTTTAAAAAGAGAGAAAAGGTGTTCCAAGTGGAGGGAAACACGTGTACTAAAGTACAAAGTGTGAAGCTAGGAAGGTCAGTATGTGAAGGGTCTTGGACACTGGGCTAAGGAACTTAGGGACTAGCTGCAGGGATGGGACAGGGCTGATAATGGGATCAGATTAGTAAACCAGAAGATGACTCGCTCATGGGGCCTCTGGGAAGGATGGAGTTAGTGAAAGACACTCCAGGCAGGAAGATGGAGAAACGTTCCCAGGATATCCCATCCTTCCTCAGTGTATGCTCTCTGACCAAGTGTTAAAGCCATTGATAAAAATGGGGCCAAACCAAGCACAAAGAATTCCTCTGCCAATCTCTGAATGACAAGATGCTTTGTTAGGGAAAGAAAACATGTACAGTTTGGAAGCCCTACATCAGAAGTGGCAAAATGGGTCAAAACTGGCCCTTGGGCTTGTTTTATTTGGCCTGAGAAAAAAACATTCAGTCTGAATTAGGAGCCAGAAATGGGACTTTCTGGGATACAGTATTTCGAACAGAGGGAGCAGCAAGTGCAAAAGCCCTGAGGCAGGAACGAGCCTGGCACCTTTGAAAGACACCAAGGTGGCCAAAGTGGCTGGAGTCCAGTGTGAGCAGTGTGAGAGGAAACGGATTCAGGAGGAGGTGTTGGGCAGGGGCCAGGTCACACACGTGTCAGAGGCCACAGCAAGAATTCAGGTTTCATTCTAAGTGGGATGGGAGGAAGTGGGGGGTTGCAGTGGTGGGGGAAGAGTCTCCCTCTGGCTGCCCAGAAGAGGCTGCATAGGGGCAAGGGGGAAGCAGGGAGACATGATCAGAGGCTGCCTGTCCAGAGAGATGACAGCGGCTTGCATGGGGGTCGCTGGACCGGCAGAAGTTGGGGAAGTGGCACTGGCACCCACAATCTATTCTGGAGGTGGCGCCCTTGGGCCGTGGGCCTTGCTGGATGATTGGCTGTGAGCAGCCCAGCCCTGGACCAGATGGCAGGCAAGGGGGAGGGGAGTGTGTGGAAGCCGCCTTGGACAATCTCCCTCTGTCCCACTGCATCAGAGGGACAAGCGGCTGCGTGGAGTGGGGACCTAGGCAGAGACCAAGAGGTCAGGGCTGGAGTCTCAGGGCTGCCATTGTCCCAGGCCATGGCCCCACCATGGAGTGAGTGGGGAGCCCTGAAAAGCCAGGGAAGCAAGGAGGGGGAGCAGTGGGTCTAGAAGTAGGACCTGCTCTTCCCCTCCCCCTACCCCACACCACTCCCTCCATGAGGCTGTGCTTGCTTTGCTTTGCTCTCGTTCTGTAATTACAGAAATTACAGAGGCTCGCTTCGACTGCAATCACTCTAGTTTGCCTTTATTTCTTTTTGAAACTCCGTGGTTCAAGAAAGAAATTAATATTGAGTTTGGCTTCATTCCAAGGGGAAACATAATACAGTTTATTCTCTGCCTTTGGGAAAAATGCTAGGCTCAATCCATTGGACAAGGCTTTATTGAGCATCTGTTGTGTACCCAGACTCATGCCAGCTCCTATCGAAGAGCTAGCATTTATTGAGTGCCTATTGTGTGCCAGGCATTTTGCAGGCACTATGTCATCCAGGAGTCATTCCATCTATGTAAGCCAGGGCTACTTCACTCATCTGACAGATAAGGAAACAGCCTTGCCAGCCTGGGGTCTGAAATTGCCCAGTGATTTCAGGGCCTTGCTTCTCAAAGTGCGGTTCTTCAAGAGACAGCATCAGCATCACCTGAGAGCCTGTCAGAAATGCAGAATCTTGGGCCCCACTCAAGACCTATGGAATGAGAAGCTGATTTTTAACCAGGTCCCATGATTTAGGCACATACGACAGCTTCAGAAGTTGTTAAGTTAGGGATGACCCAGATTATTTCATGGGACTTCGTTCAAATCTCTGTGCAATAGGGCTAGATATCTGGCTTGCTTGAGTCCTGATTTTCTCATCTGTAAATGTGGATTTCACAGAATTGCTCTGAGAATTGCATGATAATGCATGGAAAGAGGCCAGCCAAGGGCCTGGCACACAGGAAGTGTCAATAAATAGCAGCTTAGGCTGCCACTCAAAGAGATGAATGGCCGCAAAAGTGCTTTGTAATTGAAAAATGTTATACAAATGTGAAGACCAATTAATACTGGATGATCAGGTACAGAAGGTTAGATGGAGGTTGGAATTGTGCAGGACAGCCGGTGCTGTGGGCAGCGCTTGCCACGCACTGTCCTGGAGATCAGGGAAAGCTCCCTGGAGAATGTGCCCTGATGGAAAGGGAGCCACCAGAGAGGGTCTCCAAGAGGAGACCTCAGAGGCCAGCCAGGCCTGTGGTGGGATGCAGGCTACAGGAGAAATGAGCTGGTTGGGACAGCTTGGGGCCTAAATGGGAGGCCTCCATTCTTGGATCCTCAGCCCCATGCACAGTGGTGCTTAGGGCCAAGACACAACTGGCCTCCTTCCTGGTCCAGACTTGCTCCATGCCAAACCGGTGCACCTGGTCTACCATGGCATTCTATAGATGAAGAAAAAAACCCACCGAGGACTGGTGGTTGGCCCAAGGTCACACAGCATGAGAGTGACCTGAACATTACAGACTCCCACCCAGCTCCCAGCCAGCCACATACTCTTACTCAAGAGACGAAGGAAAGCAGTTTCATGCCTTGGTATAAATCCCTCCATTGCCTCAACGTACCTGAGAGGGAATTTGCAGAAGCAGGTGTCTTTGTCGGTAGTATTTATTGCATGCCTACTCTTTACAACATCCCACTGTGACTTTCAAGTAAGCTACTTATTTTCTCAAAGTTTTTGTTTTGGCCAGGCGTGGTGGCTCACGCCTGTAATCCTAGCACTTTGGGAGGCCAAGGCGGGTAGATCATGAGGTCAGGAGATTGAGACCATCCTGGCGAACATGGTGAAACCCCGTCTCCACTAAAAAATACAAAAAATTAGCCGGGCGTGGTGGCGGACGCCTGTAGTCCCAGCTACTAGGAGAATGGCGTGAACCTGGGAGGCGGAGCTTGCAGTGAGCTGAGATTGCGCCACTGCACTCCAGCCTGGGCGACAGAGCGAGACTTCATCTCAAAAAAAAAAAAAAAGAGTTTTTGTTTCTTTGTCAATAAAGGAGGTCAATAGTGACCACTTCCCACTCTGTGATGACTGGATTTGAATTTTCTAGCACCGTGCTCAGTTCAGGAAGTGCTAAATACACTGAAGCTAAAATGATCGTTTGTCCCATTTTGCAGATGATGGCACTAAGGCCCAGAGAGGTCAAATGACCTGCCCAAAGTCACACAGGACTTGACCCAGGCCCTCTGACTTATAGTCTGGTGCTATTTGCTTGTCTAGGAAGTGCCTCCCAGGCACTGGCCTGTGTGAAATTCCCTGAAGCCATTAGACCTATTGGGCCTCATGACCTGACCTGCCCAAGCATGCCTGCTGGATGCCAGAGGGAAAGAAATGTGACTGCATGGAGATGAGCTTGCCTAGCCTCACTGTCCTAGGACAGATGAATATATGGAGGCTCTAGCCCTTCCCCTCTGCTCTCAGCCTCTGAGAGCCTAGAAGTCAGGTTTGCTAGGACACCTCTGAAACCACAATGTGGAAGAAGGCCAGAAGGCATCCCCACCCCGACAACCCAGGCGAGAACAAATTCAACTTTGCAACTACTGGAATATGACAGACCCATCCAATGGTGAAACAGATTCCAGGAGTATGGTTCTCCTGCTTCTGTAGCCGCCTGCAGAAAAGAAAAATTCCTCAACTTTTCATTAACAAGGGGTGAAAGAAAAAGAAGAGCTCAGCACAGGGAGGAAGTGAGCTGGACACACTTACTAATGTGCGAGGGGCCACTCTAAATGCTTTTTGTCTATTAAATTGCTGTTAGCCCCCATTTTATTGATGGGTAAACTGAGGTACAGAGAAGTTAAAGTGACTTGCCAAAGGTCTCCCAGTTAGGAGCTAGGGGCTCCAAGCCTTGACCCAGGCAGCCGGGCTCCTGTGTCCAAGCTCTTAACCACTCTGCTGTCTCTAATGGGGTACCTGTGGAACCCCCCAAGCCCTCCATTTGGGGTGTACAAGTATGGCCTATCCCCAGCAGCCACCTCCCTCCAGGACAAACCTCCACAAAGACAAGGCCTGCTGTTCTTTTTAAGAAACTCAAAAGAGGCTGCCAGCATAAAAGCCTCTGAGTTCTGGCTCTAAAATGGCTCCTATGGTTGTGCTGGACAAACCCTACAGGTATCCAGGGAGTCTCTGGGAGGTCCCGTGGGATTCTGGCTGAGCCGTGGGGCTGGAGGTTCTAATCAGAGTCCCCAGGAGGCAGCCAGCCTCTAGGGGCAGCACTGCCCTCTTGGAGACCCCAGCTGTCCTCTAACTGCAGACATGGCCTGTGTCTTGCAGCTGCCGCGAGGAGCTGACCTGAGGAGGAAGGGCTTGACACCCTGAAGTCCAGTAGACACAGGTTTGAAATCTCACCCTGAACTTACTAGCTGTGTGACCCTATGCCAGTCCCTTCCCCTCTCTGTGCCTCAGCTTTCTTCTGTGCGCAAGCAGGAGAGTCAGACTCCGATTTCCAGCTCCACCTCACTCTGATCCAATCCTGCTTGTCTCGCTCACACCATCAGTGGTTTACTAATGTCTGTTCCAGCCCCTAATTATCTATAGTGCCCAACTGAGCACCTCATTTTGTCAAGGCAATTTTCAATCCAATCCGCATCTACTGCGCACCTCCAGGGAGCCGGGCCTCATGCTGGGTGCTGAGGGACAAAGATGCAAGTTGGAGTCTGAGTCCTGCTGCCACTGAGCTCTTGGGACAGCTGGGAGATGGGCCACTGACAATTCACATCCACGGTGTAAGTTCTTCCACAGCACACAGAGAAGGAGAGGTGGCGCCCCGCCCTGGGGTCTGGGTTCAGGCAGGCAACTGGGAGGGGTAGCATTGGGTTTGGTGGAAAATGGAGCAGAAGTGGGGATATTTTTAAAATAATCACAGCTAGACGAGCAGGACCGGACTGCTTGCTCTTAACCGCAACCCTAACTGCTCCTGGTCCATTCCAGGCAGACAGAACAAAGCCAAAATACAGAACATATGTGAAGACAGTGAGGAGGCTGGCTTGGGGGCTAGAATCTGGGGTGATTTAGGGAAACGTGGCCAGGAAGCCGCCAGTAGTAGTAAAGAACTCTGATGCAGGAAAAGAGGGCACATTTTACTCTGTAATGAGAATGATGATCACACCGAAGGCTGAGGAAGTGCTTAATGTATTTACTGCCTTTCTGTACTGCACACTGTACAGATGAGGAAGCCGAAGTTCAGACAATCAAACAACTTCTCAGCTCCCAGACACTGCAGTTTGATTCCAAAGCCCATGTTCTTAACTATCTATCTCCTCTCCACTGTGGGCATGGAGTGGTCACCAGGGCTGCCACCTGAGCCATGGAAGGTGGGGAGGTTTGATGTGATGGTGACTTGGCAAGATCTCCCAGCAGCTGTGTGGGGAGGAAGAGAGGAGAGGGAGCATGGGTGGAGGTTGCTGTAACAGGGCTGGTGGAAGGATGAGAGACAGTGCCTGAGCCAGGACCATAGTGGGGGCAAGGAGGAAGGCCTGGTCACCCTATACAACGTGGCTTCTCTCCTGACTAATTACAGATTCTTCTGTCTTAGCTTCCCAGCTGTACCATCACCTCTGCAAGAACAGGGCTCAGATCTTCCACCTGCTCTGCTTCCCCAACAGCAGGCAGCTTAAACAGTGCTAGATACGCGTGCGCTCTTCTGGCTTCTGCCCTCTATGGCAGCAGACATTGTTCTTACAAGGCCTCAGCACAGGAACGTTTGCTTCGGAGAAGGCGGCAGGTCTACAGAGCAATGGTGTGCTGGTAAGTTTTAACAATGGGCTCTTAGGAAACAAAACAGAAGACTCAATTTGCAGCACCTGCTGATTTCTGTGGTGTAAACACTCCCACCGTGACCCATGCAAAGTACTAATACGAGGTCACAGGATTGGGTGTGCACCATCTGGGAGCAGGCTCCAGCACACCACTACGCCTTAGGCCTGGTTCTGCTTGTGGGGCCAGTGAGGCATGCTCTCGGGCAGAAACTGGCCTTGCTTCCTGAGTGGTTTAATGCTGGAAACCCTCTTGGTTGCTTCCTGTAAGGGAAGCCCCAGACGCCACCCCCTGGGCTGGCCCTGGAGCGCATGCTGGGGCCAGTGGGTGCCCGCAGAGATGCCTGCTGCAGGGCAAGGAACATCGCACCCTGGGATCAGATACGGGAACTTGGAGGCATCCCCTGGGTGGATTTAAAAAAGCGGAGAGGGATGGAGAGAGAGGAGGGTGGGAAGGAGGGGGAAAGGAGAGAAAAGGGAGTGGAAGGAGAGGAGGAAAGAAACAGACAAGGAGGAGGCTGGGGTAAAGGAGCAGAGTGATGAGGAGGAAAACAGGAGGAGGAAAGGAGGCACACAGGAAGGGATCAGAAAGGGGAAAGAGGAAAAACAAGGGCAGAAGGAAAGAAGGACGGAAGAGAAAACAGATGTGCCATTCACTGCTTGTAAGCTGTCCAAGGCTCCACTGTGTCAGCTCACTGAACCAAGGAGGGAGGGAGGTAGCCTACCTTTCAGCCAAGAGAAGCCTGAGGTTGGCGGAGGCCAAGGTCAAAAGTGGCGGAGGAGCCGGGATTTTTGAACCCAGGCTGCAGGGCCTGTTCCACTGACTTCCTTCAGTTGGTTCTGACTGTATTTGCTGGGGGCCCATTAGTCTTAACCTTCCACACGGGGCAGCTACCTCCCCACACCAGCTGGAGCCCCCAACCCTGTGCTGGGTATGAGGGTGAGCCCCTGTGGAACAGGTCCGGGTGCCCTCCCTCTGCACCCTCACCGCCTGTTCCAGGCTCCTTTCTTCCTTCTGCCTCTGATGGGTGTGGGACTTTCTGGAGGACTTCAGTTCCGGGGGATGTCTCTGTAAAAGCCCCGTGCTCAACCGGCCAGAAAGGATTAACTCAGACCAGGAAATAAGAGCGGCACGATGACCTTTTGCCATTCTTTTACATCACTCTTTGCCTTTTAAAACACACTTGTAAGAAGCCCGTGGGGTTAAAATAGCTGTTCATTTCTGTTCAAGATGTGCTCGGAAGGCTCCGACAGGCATTAAGGTAAAGGCCCTTTAAGAACTCAGATTTGGGGAAAAGAAAACATAACACCGCAAGGGCTGCCTGAACTAAACGATGAACTAAATAAGTCACGTGCAGGAGCACAGCCCAAATGGAGAGCTGGCTTAGCGTCGCAGAAGGCACATCCAAGACAGTGGCTGCAGACAGCGCCACGGCTCTTTATCAAGCGTCCACACCTGGGACTGCATTCCTCTCTCTCTCTCAGCAGCTCTGCAGGCTCTATCAGCCCCTTCTAGAGACAATCAGACTGAGCCCCAGAGAGAAATTGTCTGGATCAAGATCACACAAAGTCACAAGAAGAACCACCAGGGATCTCAACGTGGTGGTTTTGGGCTGAATGGATCCCACAAATATGTTTGGTTGAGTGGTATCAGATTTGAATTTTAGAATTTGAACTTGCATGCTTTGGAGAAGGGCAGGGGTGATGTGTTTTCTAGTTTACTACAAGTCCCACCATTACTATCATCCTATCCCTGACCTCTTTACGCATTTCTGTGACCTGTCTGGCCCTCAACGGCCCCTGAATTTGCAATCCTTGTATACACGGTGCAGTCGTAGTCACTCAGTAGAGCTCTTTCTCTGAGCAGTGGAAGACGGATGAGGATTAATGTCCCCTTCCCTAGGGGATATGTCGAACTCTTGGGGGTGGTGAAGTTTGAAAAAGCATGTTTGGTGTTACAATTTTATATTTAGGAAACAACAAATCCTATTGTTCTCTTAATAAAAGCTCAGTTGGATTTTAAAAACTTCAGAGAGACTCTGCTTTAGAATATTCTGCAAGAATGAGGGAGGCGTGTATTTTCAGAGTCAGTTAAGGGTCAGATTCCAGGGTCTAAAATATTTTCCCACAATATAAAGGCTAATTTTATTTTTAAAAGACTTGAATGCTCACGTTCACCAGTGCGTCTGTTCTTAACTCACTCACTTAGCTGTGGAAAGGAATTTTATGGTATAGAGCCCCTTGTTTTTGTAAAGTGAAAACTCCTATGTAACAAGAACAGTCTACCCATTTGGTAAAATCAGATTATTTATTTATTTATTTAATTTTTTTCTGAGACAGGGTCTTACCCTGTCACCTAGGCTGGAGTGCAGTGGCATGATCTCAGCTCACTGTAACCTCTGCCTCTCAGGCTCAGGCAATCATCCCACCTCAGGCCCCCAGCTAGCTGGGACTACAGGCATGTGCCACCGTGTCCGGCTAAAAATCAGATTTTTATTGAACAAATTTTCTTTAAGTCCCATGAACAATAAGCAATGCCCTCTTCTGCCTGCCCCTATCATGGCTCCTGACAAACTTCTGATCAGTCTATGATATCTCAAGCAGGAGCTCTTCATAAGTATGCTCATTGTTCGCGGGACTTAAAGAAAATTTGTCCTTCCCTAGGGGCAAGGACACCTCGTTTTGAGTTTCAGCTCCGGTTCAATGCTGTGTGACTGTAGGTTAGTCACCTACCCTCTCTGTCTAAAACAGAAGTGATAACACTTACTTCTAGGGCTGCTATGAGGATTAAATGGGAAAATATGTAGTTAGTACAGCATCTGGGACATAGTAAATGCTTGATATCTGGCAGATATTATAATAAACCACCTGATCAGGGCTTTCATTTATATTTTTAGTTAGTGATGGAAAAAAGTTCTGGGTGGAAGGAAGGCCAGTATTATCTTTTTTTTTTTTTTTGAGACAGAGTCTCGCTCTGTCACCCAGACTGGAGTGCAGCGGCGCAATCTCGGCTCACTGCAAGCTCCACCTCCCGGGTTCACGCCATTCTCCTGCCTTAGCCTCCTGAGTAGCTGAGACTACAGGTGCCCGCCACCACGCCTGGCTAAGTTTTTTGTATTTTTAGTAGAGACGGGGTTTCACCATGTTAGCCAGGATGGTCTCGATCTCCTGACCTCATGATCCACCCGCCTCCGCCTCCCAAAGTGCTAGGATTACAAGCGTGAGCCACTGCCCCCGGTCCAGTGTTATCTTAACCTATACGCAATCAATATAAAGGAATGGTGGGAGTCACTGGGAGATGCTGATCAAATCAAATTCTTAGAGCAAATTGTTTATTAAACGCGATTCCCAAAGTGGTATGTGTATGTATCCTGCAATTTGGCACACCCGTTAAAATCCTGGTTAAATGTCAACTGTCTTTATTTGTCCACTGAATCAGTCTCCCTGACCCCTCTCCTGCCTGCCTGGAATAGGGGTGTCAAGATCCAAGGTCTTCAGCTCATTACCTCATAGCTTGGCATCCAGTCCCAGAAACAGCAGCAAACAAATGACCCTCTCTCTCAGAGGACCCAGAAACAGGTTGCTATCTCTGGGGGTGGATTTGCTCAAACAGGTTTGCGGAAACAAACAAAATGGTTGCTTGCATCTAAATCATCAGGATCCCAGCTCTCACCAGCGCTTTTGAAACAGCCAAATGCCTGAGTCCAGCACCCTCTTTCCGCTTCCAAAATGGAATGGGGTTGTCTGCCAGCCTGCATCTTTGCCAGCATTCAAATGATGCACTTTGGGGTTTCACAGGGTATTAACCCCATGTTCTCCAATCCCTGATTAGGGAGGTAAGTATACTGCACCAGCTGTGCTTCTAGAAGAGAAACTAGGTGTGTGGGTGAGAGTGTTTATTTTCCAAAAGCGTTTGCAGCATGGGGTCATTTAGATAGCTGGCATAGAGCAAACACAAATTCCCCCAGTGAGGTGTGCATAGAGGTTTTTAAGGACAGTACATTTGCAGTGAGGTACACCATTCACACTCTTCAAATGCAAAATATTTATGTATATTTTTGGTGATGGAGCTGTTCATTTGTTCTACTGATATTTACTAGCCTGGAATGAAGAACCCTGTTATGTATCATGCTTGTACTGTATTAGCCAGTTTCACTCTTCCAACACCACAAATTACAAGCCGATACATGGTTGGGAGCGGACGCTTTTCCTAACCTCTCCCCTTTGGTTCATGACAACAGCTGCTGGTGATTGAGCTATGGCCAGGATTGGGGCTTGATGCTTTATCTGCCTCATGATATGCAGTCTCACCACAATCCTATGAGGTAGGTGCTGGTATTATCCCCATTTTGCAGATGAGGGCACTGAGGTCCAGAGAGAAAGTGACTCGCCCAGGATTACACAGTTTAGGAAGTGGCAGGGAGAGATGTGACTTTGGCTCCAAAGCTGATGCTTTTAGCTACCCTGACGTTCTGTTTTCTCCTCCTCTTGGGCTGGAATTGTCATTCCTGGCCCATCAGGACCTCCACAAGCACTTAAGACTTTAGAAAGGTCTCTGTCAACCATCCCCTGGCCCTGCAGGGCAGCCTCCTTCCAGACTCTCCCTATAGCCTGGGCCCTCGTGTTGGTTGGAGGTGTAATCCTAGCTCTAGCTCTTTCCTGGTTGTGACCTGGGGTGAGTCACTTCACCTCTCCTCACCTGACCCTGCACCTCCACGAAGTGCAGGGAAGTATCCCATTCTGACAAGGCTGTAGGAAGGATGGAAGTAGAGGAGGCAAGTTGCCCCACCCCGACCAGTCCCGCACCTCCTTCTTGGGGAAGCTTGAGTTCTAGACACGGTCCCCTCCACTCTCCTCTTGTGCTCACTCTCACTCTAGCAGCTCCCGAATCAGCATTCAACACACATCACTCTGCCTTGTGCAACGCCATTATCTCCCGAGGACACAGGCTCCGTTGTCACGGCAACCAGAGTCCTTCCACCAACTCTATTTAATAATTTCTTAACGGAGGAGCTGGGCTGGCTTGGTGGAAGGGAAAGAGCACTGCGTTAGGGGTTAGAAGCTCCGGGTC